CCTGTTGTTGGTTGTGAAGATACTATATATGCCCATGTAAAATACAGAAAGAAGTTCGTGTTTGTTAAAAAAAACGAAACCAAAAACCACCACCACCACAAGTACCTGGGTCTATTGGTGCAAGCCCTCGAGTATTTTTATGTACTATATATAATACAGGCTCAGGTCTCATTATTATTGAATGCTGATACACTGAAAATGAAGCTAGGGAAGATAGGAAAAGGATGCTTAGCCCAGAATATTGAAAAGTTACTATTTTATACTAGAATCCCCTAAACCACTATGGCCTCCTGGGAGATATAGTCCAGGAAAGTAACCACTGCCTTTTGCTATCAGCAGCCATTCTGCGAGGACTTGCATAGTGCAGAAGAAGAGGGAGAGAGAAAACGGTGGAAAGGATCCTTGGCCATGTGGGATAAAAAAACTTATTCAAGAACTCAGAATTCATAAGTTCTCAGCTGTTGAAAGTAGCCTAGCTTTCAGGTAAACCAGTGTAACTTCAGATTGCATCGATGAGAGCTCTCCATGAAGGATCCACTTATAAATATTATATTATTGTATTGTCGAAGGCTTTCATGGCCGGAATCACTGGGTTGTTGTAGGTTTTTCCGGGCTATATGGCCATGTTCTAGAGGCATTTTCTCCTGACGTTTCGCCTGCATCTGTGACAAGCATCCTCAGAGGAAGTGAGGTCACTACCTCTGAGGATGCTTGCCACAGATGCAGGCGAAATGTTAGGAGAAAATGCCTCTAGAACATGGCCATATAGCCCGGAAAAACCTACAACAACCCACTATTATATTATTTATTGCACACCTCCTCTATATATATAATACCTCCATAATATCAATGGTTAGGAGGAACAATTCTTGCCTAGCATTTGTTTTGCTGGCTTGAGTTCTTCATAGAGTGGTGAGACTACTTTTTGTATGAAGAAATCGTCCACTATTTGTGAAATGTTGAAATGTATTAATGTGATACAGTCCAAAGACAGGCATACTACCTCAGGGAGAACTAGGGTATGGTAAAAGTTCAATGCACTTTCTTGAGGTTTTTGATTAAAGTACTTCAGTAGTTAAGGTGGCCCTTTGAGGTAGGGTGTAGCGGTAATTCCAGCAATAGTAGGCATATTTTTAAAGGGCCACCCTTTGGAAGGGAAACAAACAATTACAGCTAGGGGTGTGTGAAACAACAGTTCTGTTTTCATTTCAGGTTTTGGGTCCCCCCCTCCCCAGTTCTATTTTCAGGAAAATTCTTCGCAAAATGGAAACGGAACTCTGGATCCCAAATTATGAATCCGAATGGTCCCCCTCCTAATCTCCGGGACATTTCAGAAAGACAGAAAAAAAGGGGGGGCACCCAAAATTTGAAACGAAAACGGGACAAAAACAGAATGGATTTCTGCTATTTCACACCCCTAATTACAGTTATTTCAATAGTAAAATGCTAAATAGTTTTTCATGAAAAGATACTCTTGAAAATATGCATATTTCACCTTATATTTTAAATTCAGGGAATATTTTTTCAAACTAGAAGGACTGCCTAAACTCTATTAGAAATGATAATGAACTGCATACAATGGTGTTTAAATAACCATTATCTAAGCCCATGTATTTGACTTGGGGATTCACATTGGCTTCATTCACATACCACATTAAGCCATGGCTTGTTGATTTAGACATGAATTGTCCTACAAACAACCAGAAACACCACTTGTTCTTCCTGTGTGGGTTTTTTTTAAAGTTACTTTTACTCTCACCACCTGCCAGTTCTTTCTTGGGGAAGATTTAAGAGGCAAGCCGCAATTCTGGAACACATATGGAACGAGAAGCCATGGTTTTCACAAATCTGAGTTCATAAGCCAACAAGAAACCATGGCTTCTCGTTGTGGTTTGTGACTCTTTGACAAACCATGGCTTATTTGTAAGCTAGAAGCCAGAATTCAACAAATCACATTCTGTGCAAAATTGGCTATTAAATGCACCATTACATGCACAGATTGACATCCCAAAATGTTGTAGACATGCCTTAGTACTTCTCTCTACCTCAATAGTGTTTCTAGACTTCTTTCCCATGTTCTCATGCAGCAATAGGAAATTCTTAGACTTATGGCACCTCTCTTCAAAGTGATTGGGGTGTAGCAAGTGAGGAAGTGCTATTGAAACTTCTGAATGTGTACAGAAGTTGCCTTCAAAGTCCTTCAGATCCACCCATCAATATTATATTATTTATTGCACGCCTCACTTCAATATAACATTTAGGTGTTCTCAGGGCATGTCACATAACACAGACTGAACCACAGTCCAAAGCAAATGTTTTGGATATTTTAAACTCGCTTCACGACTAACTAAAAGCCTTTAAACAGGCCACAAAATACTTCAATAATATTACTTAACAAACATCTTTTTTGAAATAAAACATTGAAATAAAACATTGGCTCTGTGTGACCATAAGAGACAGCAAAATAACATGACTTTGAAAACATATTGTGAAAATATTTACATTATAATTATATTTAAATCCATATTTTCCCAATCCTTCCTTCTCCAGTGTGCATGTGGAACTCCCCTTACAAAGAACGAGAACTGTGGCTAGAAGGGAGAATAAGGCAAGAGAATAAATTCCATTTAATTGTACTACTACACCCTTATTTCAATGTGAAACCTAGTAACGCTGCTATACAGAGCAGGGTGCTGTTGTGAGTGGGATTTTTCTTTCTTTTGTCAAAGGCACATTTGGTCCTAGATGACACTAGTATACATTCTCTGTCTCTGAAATGGACACTTAAAAAAAAGAGTAACTCGCATTTGAGGTCCAGTGTATATGGAAACACAAGAGCACATGGGAATGAAAAGGTGGTTGTTCACATACAATGATATGGCCAGAGATGAGAAAAACTGTACAGTGGAAAGAGTTGTAAGAAATCACCACGATCCCTTATTGCATCTCTGCACATGTAAGGATTCCAGATAACTCCCACATATGACTTCCACCCACACATTTACCTATTTGGCAAAGTTTTAAACCAGGACTGGATATATAGCATAGTTTGGCGAAGATACAGAATGTCATTGCAATGTAGTAGGAGCAAAGCTTCTCAAGAAGATATATTTTGTGGCCTTCAGGTTTAAAAAATGGCAAAAATATTAAAAATTGACAACAAGTGAGAATGTCATCTTGGTTAATTCTGAGTAGAAGTCACCAGATTTTGAAGACATCATTCATATTCAGAAGGGAATAACCTGAGAACAATTAATAGGGAAGAAATGAAAATGGAAAGACTTGCCTATCCTTAACTCTAAATGGCTGCATATGTATTATTTAGCCATGTTAGAACTGGAAGGCAACATTTAGAACTGTGTTGTAGGTTTTTTCGGGCTATATGGTCATGTTCTAGAGGTATTCTCTCCTGACGTTTCGCCTGCATCTATGGCAAGCATCCTCAGAGGTAGTGATGCTTGCATAGATGCAGGCGAAACGTCAGGAGAGAATGCCTCTAGAACATGGCCATATAGCCCGGAAAAACCTACAACAACACAGTGATTCTGGCCATGAAAGCCTTCAACAATACATTTAGAACTGTATTATTTAGCCATGTTTAGAACTGGAGGGCAAACTAAGGCCTGGGGGCTGGATGCAGCTCTCTGGATGCTTATCTCAGGCCCTTCTCATTTTTCCTGTCCTCTTGGCATAAGGACATGGTGGCATGCCGCATCCTTATTCCAAAAATATGGGGAAGGAAGGCACACAGTACCCGAGAGCCCTCTTTAGCACTCTCAGTCACTGTGTGTCTCACTCTCCTCCCAGTATAAGGACGGTGTGAGCAACCCCCATCCTTGTGCTGGGAGAATGCCTTGAGGAAGGCACGTGGTGGCCCTCCAGAGCACACTCAGCTGCCACCTGTCTCGCCCTCTTCCTGGCATGATGCCAAGAGGACAGCCTGAGGATCGAGGAGTATAATGGGAAGGAGAATCGGAGCAGCCACCACGTGTCCCACCTTTCTCCTAAGATAAGGATAGGATGAGCAGCCCTGTTCTTATGCTGGGAGGACAACCTAAGGATGACCCAAAAATATGGGGAAGGAAGGCACATGGCAGCTGAGAGCCCTCTGGAGCACTCTCAGCCACTGTGTGTCTCACCCTCCTCCTGGCATAAGGACGGTGTGAGCAACCCCCATCCTTGTGCCTTGAGGAAGGCACGTGGTGGTTGAGAGCCCTCCAGAGCACACTCAGCTGCAGCCTGTCTCACCTTCTTCCCTGCATGATGCCAAGAAGACAGCCTGAGGATCAAGGGAGGAGAACGGGAGGGAGGATCGGGGCAGTCACCGCATGTCCCACCTCCCCCCCCCCAAGATAAGGATGAGATGAGCAGCCCCGTTCTTGTGTTGGGAGGACAACCTAAGGATGATTGGGCCCTGCCCTGACCCCTCCTGGCCCTGTCCTTTTCCAGGCCCTCCCCACCCAGCATGTTCCCAGCCCCACTCTCTCCTGGCCCAGTCCTCCCAGCTTGGCTCACAATGTGGTCCCAAGGCAAAAAAGTTTGCCCATGCCTAATTTAGAAGGTAATATTCCAGTTAGTACTGAAGCTGAGTTGATACCTCCTTATATTATGAGCCTGAACAAATATAAAATTTTAGGGACAGCCAGCTCAAGGCAGGCTTTTTAATACATTCTTACCATGTTGAAAATGGTAAACCGAGACTAAAAATGGATTAATCTAAGACAGTGTTTGTCAGCTTGTGGGTCCCCAGATGTTTTGGCCTTCAACTCCCAGAAAATCCTAAACAGCTGGTAAACTAGCTGGGAATTCTGGGAGTTGTAGACCAGAACACATGGGGACCCACAGGTTGAGGACCACTTATCTAAGATAATGAAGAGATCCTTTTTCATTGCTTTGTATCCCAAGATTTGAGACAACATAATACCATATATCAAGAAGTGGAAGGAGTCGATACTCTCTGTTTTGTTGTCTTTCTTGACATTTCGACAATGATATAAAGAGTCTATATTGTTGTGCTTGCATAAATAAGCACATAGTATGGTTTCTTCAGTATGTAGGAACACAATAGCCTTAGACTGACTCAAATTTAGATTTCTCTAAAATCTAAGCTATCACTGCAACCTGGAGGCACCAAGAACTACATTGATTGCTTTCTATATGCAAAGCCCTGTACTGAAAAGGCAAAAGTTTTGATACAATTCGTGGAAAGACAGCTTTCTAACAGAGGAATAGCTCTAAATAGAAACCTGTGGGTAAGATCTGGAGCAATCTAGATTCAGAAGTCACATGTGCAGAGATACCATAAGGATCCACAAACCCAAGTTTTTTTAATGTTAGTTTAACTACCTCTGTAAAGAAATGCACAAGATTAATCTTCTTGAATAATATAATGGTTTGCTTCTGTCTGATGTCTAAAATATACAGATTTCTGATGAATGCAACAAAGAAGGCTCTATGGAAAACGCAAAAACAGTTTTCTTTAACCGTAAGCATAATTCAACATGAGCAAATAGAAGGGGGCTTCTTTATAACAGCAGATGTTTAGTTGTGGCTCTAGATAACAAAGAAACCATACAAGTGCCAGGACATAATGCAGAGGTCTCGAGCACTTTCAAATTGCACTTTCCAGTTTAACGCTTTTAAATAAGACACACATTTGTGTTTAGATATATATATATAGATATATATATTTTAAAAATCTATTGCATGTACTCTTTAAATATCGAATATAGTCTTCAAAATATATTGTTAAAAAACTTTTCCCTACCTGCTCAGGTGCACTTTTTAAACATTTAGTTGATATATTATTAAAGGCACTACAAAATAGAAATCTCTGGAGTGCTGAACTTGCTAAAAAATAACCTTCATACCACAAATATAGTGAAGATAAAATTGAAAAAAAAAAACAACAACCACTATTGTATATAAACCTGTATAGAAGAATGGGCCCTGAAAAATAAGCCATTTTAGAAATGTAGGAATGTAGGCATACTTTTTTAAAAAGCCTAAAAAGTTAGTTAAAACTTCATGTGTATAAAAGATTTCAAACATGATGCATTTGCTATAAACTTCACTTCCAGGTTTTATCACCGGTTTACAGACATCCAGACATATTCTTCTGCAATAGGTTCATTCTTCATAAATAGTCAAATGTTCCTTCAGGGTCTCCCATCCTACCCCACCTTCACCAAAAGCCAGTAGTCTCAATAGGTCTGGTAGACATCATGGATTGGAACCTGGATGGTTGCGGCTGGAAACGCCTGAGGGATGTACCCTGCGTATCCCCCATAAGCTGCAGCAGCAGCTGCGGCGGCTGCATTCTTCTGTAGTGTGGCTAGCGTCGCTGTTGCCGCAGCTGGGGCAGCAAATGGGACATAACTGGCACCGTAGATTCCTGCAGCTGGAATTCTCTGCATGTTTGGAGCCATGGTGTATACGGGAGTTATCGGGCGGCCCTGGAAAAAAACATGATTTCAACACAGTCAACCTCAAATGGATTTTAATAGGATTCACAGTTATGCATTCTTGATACTAAAACAAGCATGGACCACCAGAAAGGTCTAGGGCCTAAGGATCTCATCTTATATGTCACAGGAGGAAGCCGGGTGATGCAGGGCGTTGAGCGACCATGCATCGTGGCAAATCTGGGGGTGCCCGGGGAAACCTGTTGCCCAAGGTCCCGCATCACCCAGCTTGCTCCCTACCTCAGCCAATCGGGGGAAGCATCAGTCACCCTGCTTTCCCCCTGTAGATCCCAATGTAATATGGGAATCCTCCCATGTTGTTGTCGCAGCGGCAGCATATGCCAGTTCCTCTATAGTTTTGCGATGGAGCCCTGTCAGAAGTAGCTGTACATTATGGGATGGGAGCTAGCGGGATCCACTGAAAAACTAAAGAGGGATTGGCGTTGCCACAGAAATTTATCCCATTTGATGAGGTTGTAATTCTACTTTGTGGGATATCCTGACAAAAGACAAATAATCCAACTCCCACATAGCACACACAAAAGCGAGATGTCAACTGGGTGGGCATTTAAAATATTAATACCCTTCCAATCAATGTTAAGAGTGCATTGGTGCTCCTATATTCTTCCAAATGGCAAATTTATACTATCTCTTTTTTGGCCAAAGGGCAGTTGAGAGTCCAGAGGGATCAAGGGATACGCTGCTTTTGAGGGCAACATGAAGCCCCAGTGCCGCATTTTAGTAACTTGGGCAGATCATTTTTCTTCACATAAGGAGATTCTATTTTACTCCAAGTACCAACAGCTGCTTTGAAAATCTTCATGTTCTCAACCTATATGAGTTTCACCACATGTTGAAACTATACTGTATGTGGGTGAATCTTCCGTTGTAAGGGACACTATAAATGTGTGGACGTGAAGTTCAAAGGAAGACTATGGGGGGTTTGTATATGGGGGGCATCAAATTGTTGCCGGCTGTAAGCCGCCCTGAGTCCCCCTTCAGGAGTAGAGAAGGGCGGGATACAAATATGTGAAATAAATAAATAAATACAGGAAAGAAACAAATTCTCTTATTGATATTTACCAAGTTAATTAAGCATTCAAAATTTGTTTGGGGTTGTGTTCTGGATTTCGCTTTTTAAAATCCCAAAACAGTGTGAGCACAGCATGAAATCGGGCTTTCTGCCTATTTCGTACAAACATAGTGAAAACCATTTAATTAAAAGTTACCTGAAAGGGAGGCGGGGTTGAAACGGCAGGCATCACAGCTCCAGCTGCTGCGGCGGCAGCTGCAGCCGCAGCGGCGCTGGCTGGATCCTGCTGGACAGCAATAGGACTAATGATATGCTCAACCGCATGGATCTTCCCATCTTCGAGCATCTTCGCTGTTGGTGCAGCTTGGAACATGGAATACTGGGTACCAATAGTTGGAATTGCCACTAGAACAGACCAGAACAAGCCATGGTCAGGGCAGATTGATAAAACAATGCTGTTCATTAGACTACAACTTATTTCTTGCACTCCTTAACCTAGCAAAGCTGTGAAAAATAACTTTTTTGGACTGAAACTCCCAGAGTCCTAGCATGACCACTGATATGGCTATCATCCAAAGTTCTAGGTTCAGGTGAATTATTTCATTTTAGTTTGAGACCACCCGAGCATATGGCTCATTTTCATTTTGACTTCTCTGTTGAAAAAAGAAACCTCAGTTACGATGTCAACTTTTCCCAGCCTGATACCTTCCATAACTGCTGGTCATGCTAGCTAGGGCTGATGGGTATTGTAACTAATATAGACAAATCTGGAAGCTGGTGTAGCAACCAGAACACTAACCAGCTTCCCGCTACCACTAAAAAAACTAGCTCCATTTGCTCTGGGAAAAAATCAGAAATGTTTCATATTTCCAATGTGCTGCTTAGAAATCTGAGATGCAAGTTGCAAATGACCTACTTTGCTAGCTGGAGAGCAGCTCCAGTTGCCTCCTGAGATAACAATACTAATCAGGGCACAATTTACAACTATAGCATGTTGAGATAGAGAAGGAAAGATCTGCAATTGCAGAGGTAAGCTAATGTATGCATACGGAATACAGAAGTGATGATCTCTAGGTGGCCCACAAAATATAGTACAACTCTTGAACATATTGAGGAAATAGAAAACCATGGATATACTTATGCTATGGACTTAAAAGAAAACTGACATATTACCCCTATGAAACTAGGCCTTATGTACAAAAATGTTGGAAAAAACTGTTGGAAATGTCATGACCACGAGGGGAGTTTCTTCCATATGTAGTGGACTTGTAGAGAAGCCCAAAAATATTGGAAATTTATACATGAAGAGTCCCCAAAATTACTTGGAATGAAATTTTCAAGAAAACCAGAATATTATCTTTTAGGTATCACAGACCCAGATCTAATTCTGGACCAAAATAAGAATATTTTATTTACTTATATGTCCATGGCAGCAAGAATCTCTTATGCCAAACTTTGGAAAATTGATAATACTCCAATCATTGACAATTGGATAAATAAATTAAGAGAAATTAGAGATATGGATAAATTAACTTTTTTTTAAGACCAACTCAGGAAGCCCAATAAAAAAGACAGACTGGACCCTTTTTGAGGAATATGAAAAAGAGAAGAAACAGAGAGACAGTGTTCAACAATATCATATATATATATTGGTTATCTGCTTTTCCCTTTTTCTTTACATTATACGAATTTATAGAGCAAGAAGATTACAGCTATAATTTTAAATATAACTATAAATATTTCTACAAAAGACTACAGCGAAAGCACAGAATGGAAGTCAATGGGCTTTTTTCTTTTTTCAAAGCTATTTTTATCCTTGGACTTTTTCCAGTTTTAGCTTTTAATTTCGGTTTCTTCTTCTTCTATCTCTTTTCCTACTTTCTTAAAAACTCAGTGTTCACTTTTTATGTAGATACAAAATGTTTCTTTTTTCGTGCACTATATATAGCCATGGATGATAGTGACCCCCACTGAAATAAATGATTTCTTTGGAAGTTACTGTACAATTGTGCAGGGGAAGGAAATGCTTAGGAAATTCCCAGAAAGGTTGCCTCTAGGAATTATCTAGGTCTTCCACTGTGACTCTGTGTTAACTTTGGGTAGAAACATTCCACATAATCACCTGGAGGATCTAGAAAACTCATAAAGAGGTAATATTTTTCATATGTGGTTATGTGAAAAACATGGATACTGGTCCCACAGGTACGGGGACTATACTTTACATCTTTTCCTCCAGATCCTTGACTGAATTTGAATCAAAGGGTGGTAAAATTATTCCACCCACAATATTATTCCAGCAATTATGTTCTTTGTTTTTTTGCTTCTGTATCCCAAATCCATGGCCCATTGACCGAGCACAGACATCACATGCAGAAGAACCAAGGTCTCCAGTTAAAAGGGTCTCATGTGGCAGGTGAAAAGGAAAGACCTCCCCTCAAGGTATATGCAAGTAGTTGGGATGGCCAAATTCATACCCCACTCCAGGTAGTTTGAATAGCAATCCTCACAATGTCTGATCATTCGCCATGCTGGTAGGACGTTATGGGAGTTATACTTCAAAACATTTGGGAGGTTGCCTATCCCTAGAATGGATTATATCATGGCCAATGTTCTTATTTAAGAATAAGCCACGATTATACATTAAGTAGTTGGGTATATGTATATCCTGCTGCTTTTCTTCAAGAGAGTTCAATGTGGTCTACCTCCCCCCCCCCCACACACACCGCTTATCCTAAGAACCACCCTATGACGTAGACCAGTGGTTCTCAACCTGGCGTCCCCAGATGTTTTTGGCCTTCAACTCCAAGAAATCCTAACAGCTGGTAAACTGGCTGGGATTTCTGGGAGTTGTAGGCCAAAAACATCTGGGGACCCCAGGTTGAGAACCACTGAGGTAGATCATACTGAGTTACAATGATGGGCTCAAGATCACTCAATCAATTTTATATCTCAGTGGACACTCAAGTGCTAGACTAAAGGCCCTTTCATACTACTTAGTTATAGAGCGATGATCCCACTGTAACTGCCATAGGAGTATATACCATATAATTCTCAGACAGAAAGCTCTATTGCCACATTGAACCACAAAACCCAGGATTTTATAGGATGCTGCTGAAGTAGTTACACTTATCTACTGCTGATTCTTTAAAGATCTTTTACAGAGTTAGTCAGTCTGTAGATCCATTGCTGAGACAGTGAAACGTGAAAGATGGTTGCTCATGACATACAAAATCAGGTTGCCTGATGATTTACTACACTGTTAGTCCAAAATCTTGCCTGCCACCATTTGGGTCATCATTCCAGGCGAATTTTATAAATTTTTCCAAATACAATCTCACCAGATTTAAAAGGGAGGGGGGAGAAGCACAGTTATATCATTTCCAGAAACAGGCATGCCAATATTATGCTTGTCCAAAGTCAAAATCTGGCAAAATATTTCAAGAGCACTGATTTCCAAGGTGCATCATGCGATATTTGAAGACACACAGAGCCGTACCCATGGCCGAGTCATACCTTGCATTCTTGTCCAAGTTTCTCTGAGCACAGCCCAGAGATACCTGTGTCTTTTGAGTGTCAACTTTCTCCAGCTGATGGTAGTGTTATTGGAGGAAACCAGCGTACACACATGCCATCATTCTGGAAACCCATAAAACAAATGCTGATCTCCAGGGCAAAAGTATAAGCCGAAACAGCACAGAATAATAATAATAATAATAATAAAAAAATCCTAGCTCTAGCACCTGCAAATCACAGCACCTCTTCCAGATTTGAAACACAAACTATGGTAGTTCATTGCAAGGGGAAAATGTAGCCCATGGGATGCACTGGACCCAGCAGGGAGCCTATTATTTGGGAATTTATTTTTAGGTCCCGCATCAATGTGCCCAAGCACTTCTGGGAGATTTGGGAGACCAATTTCCCTACATTTTTAGTCTCCAAGACCATTTTCAAGAGGTCCTTTTTATCCAAAAGTGACCCTGAGATTGATGTCACTTTCTGTTAAAAAATGGCCTCCCCAAACAGTTTGGGGTAGGGGTGTGTGAAACGGCACAGAATCTGTTCTGTTTTCATTTCAAATTTCAGGCAATGGAATTGACTTCCATAAACTATAATAATGTTTTGATTCACTAAATGGAATTTGATAGGAGAGGGACGAAGGAGCACACACTCCACCAATGACACTCTGGGGGCTCTAACATCTGGCATTGCCTAGCAATGGCTTCAAGGTTGGAAAAAATGACTTTATTGAACGACAACTTCCAGAATAGCCCAGAAAACCGAGGTATTCTGAGCACTGTAGCCAGAGGTGGCCCTAGGTAACTTTCAACGGTAAGCAAACAGTATTTTGGTATGCCCCCCCCCCCCAACCAATCATTGTGTGCCATATTTGGTTCAATTCCATCATTGGTGGAGTTCAGAATGCTCTTTGATTGTAGGTGAACTATACATCCCAGTAACTACAACTCGCATATGTCAAGGTCTATTTCCCCCCAAGAGCGCCTCAAGAGCGCCCCTGGGCAAAATCAACTATACTGCGAATGCTTACTTTGCATAATGGTTGAGTCGCCCCTGACTGTAGCCAACATAGTATATTTCCCAATCTCTACTTCTTTTGCTGAAGAAAACCCCCAAATACAAGGAGAATTTATTTGCAACTACTACCATGCCAATGTTTCTCCCATCCCAAAAAAGTATACCAACCTGTGCCAGGTTTAATGGCAACTGGGCTGACAGCAGACAAATCCAAATTAGGCACAAGCTCATATCCTTTTTCTTGCTGTTTTCCTTTCCCTTCATGATATCTGCTATATATGCCACGGCCTGCAGAATATCCCCCGAAGTATGAACCTCTTGGGCCAGGTGTTCGGTTGCCTGCTGCACCCCGTCCTCTGCCTCGAACACTGCCTGCTTGGAAAGAAAAACATAGGTCTAAAATAATAAAAAAGGCGAAAAACTAGGCACACAGAAGCAACAATAGCGTTCATTGAAAAGAATACAATACTTGAAAGAAAAGAATGGAGGGAAGATTACCAAGACTATTAGAGTCATTTGCATTATTTGTAGTACTAAGCAGATAGACTTGTAATTGGCTGTTATCCACTTTATGGCCACGTTACAGGCTTGCTACATATTTTTAGTATCTAGACATGTGTTGTTTGTTGGTCGTATGTAGTCTAGCCCAAGAAGATTTTCTAACGCTGTTTGATTTGTCCCAGATCAAGGGTGGATAACTCTGACCTTCCAGTTTGTTGACCTTCCTTCATCCCTTGCCTACTGGGTATACTGGCTGAGGTTGAATGGGAGCTCAATAACATCTGGATGGTCACATGTCACCCACCTAACCTAGATGATGGTTCTGCACAGTGAATCAACTGACTAGTTGGAGAAGGAAGAGGTTCAGTGGGCAGGAAACAACAAGCACCTAGTTGGAGAAAGGTGGGATTGGGGGACATGCCAGAATGGAAAAAGGTCTAACAGAAAATGCTAAAAGTACATCTATTATTTGGGGGTAACAACACTATGCAGATATAATTCTTAGTTAGATCAGTTTGGATCACTACAACAACCTTTATGGATTTTAAGCAACTTTTAATGTGAATATAAGTTATTTTAATGTTTGTATATATTTATGGTTTTATGTCCTGGCATTGAATGTTTGCCATATATATATTGTGCTCCGCCCTGGGTCCCCTGCGGGGTGAGAAGGGCGGAATACAAATGTTTTGAATAAATAAATTCAATAAATAATAGTGATTGGCCTGTCTTGGAAATGTAACTGCTGTTGGAAAATCATAAGCAAGGACTAATTTAGTACCTCATCACATGGGTGGCAGTTGGTGGCGGTTCTGTTCTTAATAGCCAGGCATGGAGTGCACATGTCTTCCCTTTGCCAACCAGGCCTGGAGCTGGCAACATGGGAAGCCTCGTGTGTTGCCTGGGTGGTGGATGAAGCCACATGCATTGTGCGTGTACCTCACGTTCCTCCATGTGATTGTCGGCTGGCCAATGAAACGGGGCAATATGAAGCGAGGTGAAATAACCGCCTCCACGCCTTAGTATTAAGAACAGCACCGCCAGCCTCTATCCATGTGATGAGGTCCTAAATAAGCCTCTCTCAGCTTGGGGTTCCTGCCAAACATACACCAGATGTAGGTTGAGTAGAGAGAGAAAACACTACAGTTCCCTCGCTACTTCGCAGTTCACTTTCCACAGACTCGCTGTTTTGCAGAGATATACATATATATATAATATATATATAATTAAGTAGCAAGGGAACACTGCGGTGAGGAGGGTAGAAGAGCCATCCCCTCACTCTCTTTACCTTCCTCTTCCTCGTCGCTGTTGGGGCAACAAGAGGCCCTAGCGACAGTGAGGAAGAGGAAGGCAAAGATGGCGAGGGGGCGGCTCTTCTTCCCTCCTTGCCCTCTTTACCTCCATCTTCCTCTTCCTTGCCACCACAAGAGGTGGCAACAAGGAGGGAAGAAGAGCTACTCCATCACCCTCTTTACCTTCCTCTTCCTTGTCGCCGCCAGGGTAGCAAGAGGCCCCACTGGCGGCGAGGAAGAGGAAGGCAACGAGGGCGAGGGGGTGGCTCTTCTCCCCTCCTCGCCCTCTTTACCTTCCTCTTCCTCCTCCTTGTTGTTGCTGGGGCCTCTTGCTGCTGCTTGGGCCCCGTGACACCTCCTCAATTGCAGGGTCCAAGCGGCGGCAAGAGGCCCAGGCAGTGACAAGGAGGAAGAAGAGAAAGGTAAAGAGGGCAGGGAGGAAAGGGAAGGGGGGGGGTGTCCTTACTTCGCAGTTTTTCACTTATCACGGGTGGTCCCTCGCAATAAGTGAGGGAACACTGTATTTAGAAAAAGCATAGGGTGAAAAGTCCTCTCTCAGATGGCCTTCCGCACTACACAATCATTGCAAGATGATTCCACTGGAACTGCCATGACTGTATTCTGTAGAATCCTGGGGTTTGTAGTTTGGTGAAGAACTAGAGCTCTTTGGCTGAGAAGTCTACACTTTTCTTAAACTACAGAACACTGTTACAAATGTGTAAAACGAAAAGACAAGCAAGCTCTAACACCAGTTGGTGCTTCCAGGCTATTGTGGGATGCCACCAACCCGGTCCCATGCATTGTTCTTTCTCAATCATTGTAGTTAACACTTTGTCAGAAATAGAAACATACTGGCGGGCTAATTGTTGTAATCTAAAATTGATTGATTAATTTAGATAGATAATTTAGATAGACATAGATATCTGGTCTGATCATCAGGGTGGCTACAGATTGAAATACAATCAAGTTTCAAAGCCTTCCTCATGCAGTATTGTCTTGTTCTGAATGTACGTACTTCAACTGCAGCACCTATCAGCCCAAGCCAGTATATTCAGTAGTGAGGGATAATCAGATCCTGACTTATCTTGGAAAATTAGTTATGATCAACCCTGATCAGTACCTGAATGAGAGGGTTCCAATGTATACAAGATGCGCCAGTGGTTCTCAACCTGGGGTCCCCAGATGTTTTTGGCCTTCAACTCCCAGAAATCCTAACAGCTGGCAAACTGGCTGGGATTTCTGGGAGTTGTAGGCCAAAACACCTGGGGACCCACAGGTTGAGAACCACTGCGTAGGCTATATTTCAGAAGAAGGTATTGACAAAACCACCCTAAGTGGATTCAGACCTCCATATCCTTGATTCTGTATCTACAAATTCAACCATCCTCAGCTTGGACTTTTTGTAAATCCCAGAAGCAAGCTTTGATTTTGCTATTTTATATAATAAGCACTATTTTACTTTGTCATCGTATATGAATGGGATACCAAGAGGATGCTACAAGCCTTGTCTTAGAAAACTATCAAATTTATGGGATCACCATAAGTTGACAGGTAATTTGATCATAGAATCATAGAGTTGGAAGAGACCTCATGGGCCATCCAGTCCAACCCCCTGCCAAGAAGCAGGAATATTGCATTCAAAGCACTCCCAACAGATGGCCATCCAGCCTCTGTTTAAAAACTTCCAAAGAAGGAGCCTCCACCACACTCTCCGGAGAGTTCCACTGCTGAACGGCTCTCACAGTCAGGAAGTTCTTCCTAATGTTCAGATGGAATCTCCTTTCTTGTAGTTTGAAGCCATTGTTCTGCATCCTAGTCTCCAGAGAAGCAGAAAACAAGCTTGCTCCCACCTCCCTGTGACTTCCTCTCACATATTTATACATGGCTATCATATCTCCTCTCAGCCTTCTCTTCTTCAGGCTAAACATGCACAGCTCTTTAAGCCGCTTCTCATAGGACTTGTTCTCCAGACCCTTGATCATTTTTGCTGCCCTCCTTCGGACACATTTCAGCTTGTCAATATCTCTCTTCAATTGGGGTGACCAGAATTGGACACAATATTCCAGGTGTGGTCTAACCAAGGCAGAATGACACAGACACAACCCAATCTATCACTGTATGTATGTGACTTTTCTCAAGTTCTTCTACACATTTCATATTCTTGAGACTTGATAGCTGTAGGAACTGTTGCTGTGCTGTCCTAAATTGGTACAGTAGCACAAAGGCAACTCTGGATATCCAGTTACTTCTACAGAGGAACGAATTAGGTCTTACACACAGGGTTTTTATTCTTATACATACTGGAGAGTTACTCTGCACATGCTTAGACAGACTGTAAAGTTGCAGTCTGTGTGGTAAACATTAAGATACAGATCAAGAGTGGTGAAGACAAGTCACCAAGAACTGACAAATGCAGTGTGGCTCAATGAATGATTTATGAAAATGGTGATGAAATGTTTATTTTATTCTGGCTCATAAACAGCTAAATTAGTCTGTTAGGAATAATAATTAGTTTGGCAGCTCCTTACATTTCACTTTCCTTGGGACAGGACTAATTATTGAAATTAACTGTTTAGATTATTATGCCTCTACAACGTCTATAGACTTTTCTGCCAAAGAGTGCCGGTGCCTCACCAAAACACAATACCAAGGAGTCCATAGCACTGAGTTACAGCAGTTAAAGTGGTGTCAAGCTGCATAATTCTACAATGTAGATGTACGGTTATTCTTTCAATGTCGGTTACAAGCCTCATTAACTACTAACCTATTAACCAGCGGGATTTCTTTTTACACACCATTTACAAACAAAAGGACATCACAATGGTTGAGAAAACCCTAAAGTTTTCAGGAGTAGAATAAAAATGTTTGGAGACCAAAACAAAGGAACAAATAAAAAACTGAAACCAGAAAAAAACCTGTCTAAATAACTCAATGAAAAGGGAACATGCTCAACTTTGGGATGCTAGCTGCTACCAGGATGTGTATGGATACCAAGTACTGTAAACCAGAGGTGAAATGGAATATCCTAGAGACAAAGGTGGCTAGCAGGCTAGTGCACCCTAATATGTTCTTGTAGATCATTGGTTCTGTATAGACTACTGCAACGCTCTCTACGTGGGGTTCCCTCTGAAGACTGCTCGGAAGCTTCAACTAGTCCAACCAGTGGCAGCCAGATTACTAACAGGGAGCATACTACTCCTCTGCTGCGTCAGCTCCACTGGCTGCCAATTAGCTTCCGAGCACAATTCAAAGTGCTGGTGTTGACCTATAAATCCCTAAACGACTCCGGCCCAGTTTACCTGTCCGAACGGATTCTCTATGAACCATCAAGGTTGTTAAGATCTTCTTGAGGGGCCCTGCTCTCGGTCTCACCACCTTCGCTATCGCGTCTGGTGGGGACGAGGGACAGGGCCTTCTCGGTGGTGGCCCCTCGGCTCTAGAACTCTCTCCCGTTGGAGATTAGATCTGCTCCTTCCCTCCTGACTTTCAGAAAGCTGGTAAAAACCTGGCTTTGGAATATAGCATTTGCAGAATGATGACTGAGTCAATAACTGCTGACCTTCGGAGGTCGAGAAGACCGGGTTATAAAAGCTCTAAATAAATAAATAAATAATTTCAAACCCGTGGTCCATGGACCACCAGTGGCCCGCAAGAACTAAAATATGGTCCGCAGCCTCACCGTTAACACATCATTGCAATGAGAGTGACCGGTCTCGTGAAACCCTCTTATAACTTGGCTTTTCCGATGTGCCTTTGGAGAGTGACCATTGTCCCATTTCTGTCTGTTCCATCTACAGTTGACCCTATGATGCACTTTCCCCCATCCTAAACTGAAAGCCTAACCCCACTGTTCTTCCTTTTTGGGGTCCTCTCAATTACACTTTTTTCTATTCCTATCTCTTCCAGGGTTTTATCATTTTACCTCGCCATTTGGCCTGCCAATTGTGTTTGATTTTATATTATGTCAATTTGTTTGGTTTACTTTATTTTGCTATTTGCTATTTTATGTATTTTATTCTGATGTAATTTTGTTATCTATATATTGTATTTTATTTTGCTGTATTGTATCTCATGTTAGCCACCCCGAGTCCCCCTTGGGAAGATGGTGGCTGGGTATAAATAAAGATTATTATTATTATTATTATTATTAGTAGTAGTAGTAGTAGTAGTAGTATAGTGCTGAATCTTATTAAATATGGTTTTCTGTGGGTGAGCACATGGTGTCTACTGGATGGAATATGTTCTGTATCAGAAACTAGAGCTGTTGTGGTCTATCAAATGCCATTTTCTGAATCAGCACCCCAAACATCCAAACTGAATCTAAAGCTGACCAAAAACTGATTCGTAACTCTTTTGGTGCTAATTTTGGAGAGTGGTCCCTGGTCAAAAAAAAAGGTTGGGAGCCACTGTTGTAGATTTTACTTGTCATGACTTTAAATACATTGTCACTTATTGTAATGACATGAGCATTTTTTTTTAAAAAAAATGTGACATCTTTCAAAGCAAGAAAAGCATAATAAAGCAGCTCTAACAATTTGCTGCACATTTCACATGTAGACAGGTACAATTTAAATAGGTTATAATTTTTAAACTCCATGTTTCTAAGGCTGTCTACAATGTATGCAGTAACAACTTCCAGAGCAACAGTTTCCTGTTAGGATCTTGCAAAGAAAAAAGTGTATATTGTCTTAATAGAGTCTCAACCAGTTCAACACAGTTTGTGACAGCCCAACCATCCATGGCATCAAAACAAACCACCTCCTTCTGTTCTGTCTGTCTGTGTAGTGTCTATACAAACGGCATTGAATGTTTGCCGTGTATGTGTACTGTGATCCGCTTGGAGTCCCCTTCGGGGCGAGAAGGGTGGAATATAAATAAAGATTATTATTATTATTATTATTATTATTATTATTATTATTATTATCATTATTATCATCATCTAGCGAGCTTTAAACTACGCAGAAATGGAGCCCTGCTCATGATCCCATCCACCTGTGTCGCAAGCGTGTTTGGTGGGGATGAGGGACAGGGCCTTCTCTGTGGTAGCCCCCCCGACTCTGGAACTCTCTCCCCAAGGACATCAGACAAGCCCCAACATTGGCAGTCTTTAGGAAGAGCTTGTAGACCTGGCTGTTCCAGTGTGCCTTTCCAGAATAGGAAACTCGTAGCATCATGTCCCAAACGCACTTTACCAAAGATTTAAGATTGTCTGCACATCGCACCTACCCTAAAATCCTTACACTTCACCTGTCATGCCCAGCACTTTTAATTTATTCATTACATTTGGCCCAGCCCTAGTTTTAAATGTGTCATGATGTATTGTATTGATGTTTTACTGTTATTGCTTTAATGTTTATTGGTTTGCTTTATGAGTTTAATTGTTGTATTTGTTATGCTGTTGTTTTATTGAGGGCCTTGGCCTTTGTAAGTCACACCGAGTCCTTTGGGAGATGTTAGCGGGGTACAAATAAAGATAATAATAATAATAATAATAATAATAATAATAGTCCTATACAGCCTCTGTTGTGTGTCTAGAGAAAGAGAAACGTTTCCATGAAAAATAAAAAAGATCCTTATTATCCTTACTATTGTATTTATTTATCTATATGCCACTTTTTTCTCTCAATATTTAAGTAATGTGATATTGCTAAAGCATTTTCACACTAAATGATAATGAAGAAGTCCCAACAGAAATGGCTTTAAATGTATTTCTGAAGTGTTGCATGAGTCCTAGACCGGACATACAACCAGTGGGAGGGAGAAGAGGATGAACATATTTTGAATGATATCTGCCCTCTTTTGAATGCTGGTATTGTTTAGAAACTCATGCAGTTTGTCACATCCTATGAGCATTCACAATCTCCTATCTTAATTGATGGATGGCTCTGGGCTCTCCTTTTTTAAACAGAAAGGTGCAAATTTCCTATCAGAGAGGATGAGGATTGAGATACAAAGTGTGAGAGAGCTTGGTATGATTTGTCATTTTAAAGAAATCACATTATGGGCTGCCTTAAAGGGCACTGTTGAGAATTAGACTATATTTTCAGTGTTTTGTGAAAGGTAACTTAAGACAGAGGCGGCCCTAGGTAATTTTCAATGGTTAGCAAACAGTATCCCCCCCCCCCAACCAATCACTGATATATATTTTCTGTTCATCATGGGAGTTTTGTGTGCCATATTTGGTTCAATTCCATCATTGGTGGAGTTCAGAATGCTTTTTGATTGTAGATGAACTACACATCCCAGTAACTACAACTCGCATATGTCAAGGTCTATTTTCCCCCAAAAGTGCCTCAAGAGCGCCCTGGGCAAAATCAACTATACTGCAAATGCTTACTTTGCATAATGGGTTGAGCCGCCTCTGACTTAAGAGCAAGGCATGTCACCTAATGCATATTTAGGAGAAAGAGGTCCCATCCATAAAACAAGCATGCTAAACATTCCCACCAAAAAGTACCAAACGCTATATACTAACCTTTCACAAAATATTCTCTGTTTGGACCAATCAAAGCATTGTATGGATATCCATAATATGCCAGGGTGTATGGATCACAAGAGTATACATAATTGGGCTGCTGAGTTACTTCAGTTGTTGTGGTTCCTCCGCCACTGCCTCCTTTGGCTGCTTTCTGGTAACGTGTGTATTGCTCTTTGTCGACTGGCTTGGCTAAGGTCACTTCCAGGCAGGATCCTTCCAGCTCTGTGTTGTTGAGATTATTCATGGCCTGAACTGCATCTTCCCGGCTTGTGAAGTGTACGAAGGCGTAATCTCGTATTTTCTTCACCCTTTCTACGCAGCCAGGGTTAAACTGTCCGAATACTTTTTTAATTGTATCCTCTGTGGTTTCGATCATTAAATTCCTGACGTATAGAATTTTTACTGTCTCCATGACATCTTCATCGACATCTATTTCTGGCTCAGCCCAGTCAACTGCAATCTGATGCCCCCAAAGTTGGATTCTCCCAGGCATCAGTTTCCTCCTTGCCATTGCGGCTGCTCGGTGGCTTTCATACTCCACAAAGGCAAATCCTCGGTTTTTCATCTTATCTGCCGCACTGGCGTATACAATGACGTCTAGCACACCTTCCGTCACCTTGGAGATCTCTTCTAGAATTTCTTCTCTCTTTTTCATCTTGGGGATCCCTCCAATGAAGAGCCTGCAGTTATCCACACTGCAGCACACTCCCAACAGCCTACCGGGACGGATTTCGTAGTTGTTTAGTTCTTTGACAGCACGCTTGGCTTCGTATTTTTGAGTGTACATTACAAAGGCATAGCCACGATTTTTTCCATCAAAGTCCATCATCAGGCGCATTTCATAGATCCGTCCTGCAGTCTCAAACACGGGGACCAGCTCATCTTCATAGACATCGCGAGGAATTTTACCAACAAAGACTTCACATCCACGAGGAGGATGAAGCCCTTCCCAGCCTGGTGGTGGTCCACCATACTTGCGCTGCCCATTCTCTTGAACCAGATTATATCCTGTGCGCTCCATAAGTTGTATTAGTGCAGGTCCGTTTGGCACGTTTGCCAGTTCTTCGGGAATCTGGACTTTATTTGCCTGCATTTTGGAGGAATCATTATTCATCCTAGCGGTTGAATCTTCAGCTGTCATTATGTTCTGATCATTCAAAATGTAGGGATACCTAGACAAAGAGATTTTTAAAAAGGAACATTAATTCATTTTTTTAATATTTCAAAACCAAAAACATTCATTTTTAACTATTTTCGTGGGTGAGAGTGTGTTTGCTAAGGGACAAATATGCAGAGCAACATTGTCAATGTAAGACTAAACTATAACCCACTTTTTACACAACACTAAATTTTGCAAAATATTCTACCTTTAAACAAGATAGGTGGATGGGGAGGAGAAAAGTACTATAAGGTGATACAGCTTGAACATCCCTTATCTGGAATTCTGAGATTCAAAATACTCCAAAATCTAAAATCATCCATATGGGTGGCTGAGAGAGTAACACCTTTTTTCTTATGGCTCAGACTATGCAAATTTTGTTTCATACACAAAATTTGTGTATAGAATGACTATTTGCATAAGATATATGTGAAACATATGTTAATTTGGTGTTTAGATTTGTGTCCCAACTCCATGATATCTCATTATGTACATATATGAAAACACAGGTACTCCACTACCCATTAAAATCCAAAATCTCTAACACTTCTGTTCCAAAGCATTGCAGATAAAGGTTACCCTATTTGTACTGGCTATTCTATAGAAAATTGCAAACAAAAAGAATCAATAAACAAAATGCAGGTAATAAAAATTTTTGTGGCTGTTCTGTGCTGGAATAGGATGCAATTTCAGGCCTCTCCAAGAGTTTATCTAGGGCTGAACGATGACATATGTTACTGCTTTTGTATAAGCTTTATTGGTGGTAAATGATGCAGCAAATAGTATACAGACAGAAGCATTTCGGCCCTTTCCCTGATGAAATCTAGGATCCCATCACAACCAATGATACAACTACAATCCTATACAACAATTCACCCCAGACCATTCCCGGCAGTGATCAGGTTAAATCCCCATTGCTAGATGAACAGGACCCCTTGATTCACAAGTTTTATAGAGTGTAGTAGTAAAGACAGAAAATCAAAAAGTGCATACATGATCCATCTCCCTGCTTCGATACCTATGACAACTACATAAGCAGGATGGCAACCAAGGACTATTCACTTCCATCAAAGCAAAAACACAAATTAAAATAAAACATAGTTAAATATAACAATCCAGATAAAAGAACGATTCAATAAAACATAAGGGTATAAAGGAGCTGCGTTAAAACTCAATCAAAACAAAATTCAACAAAACCAATTGCCAGTGGTACAATGGGCATGGCCAGGCTATAAAAGAGCTGGGCATGGGATAGTGCAAGCAGCATATTATAGGACCAGGTATTGGATGAAGTGTAGAGAACAAAATATTATTAGAAAACCTAGGGATTGGGCATACAAAATCACCTTGTCTCTCTCCTGAGGAATCTGCATAATGACCAAGTAGCAACAGTAAGAACTGACCATGGAACAACAGACTGGTTCAAGATTGGGAAAGGCGTACGGCAGGGTTGTATACTCTCACCCAACCTATTCAGCTTGTATGCAGAACACATCATGCGATATGCAGGGCTTGACGAATGCAGGGCTGGGGGTGAAAATTGCTGGAAGAAACATTAACAACCTTAGATATGCAGATGACACCACTTTGATGGCCGAAAGCGAGGAGTAGCTGAGGAGCCTTCCAATCAAGGTGAAAGAAGAAAGTGCAAAAGCTGGGTTGCAGTTAAACATAAAAAAAAATCAAGATTATGGCAACAAGAATGATTGATAACTGGCAAGTAGAGGGAGAAAATGTGGAGGCAGTGACAGACTTTGTATTTCTAGGTGCAAAGATTACTACAGACGCAGAGTGCAGCCAGGAAATCAGGAGACGTTTACTTCTTGGGAGGAGAGCAATGTCCAATCTTAATAAAATAGTGAAGAGCAGAGACATCGCACAGGCAACGAAGATCCACATAGTCAAAGCAATGGTATTCCCCATAGTCACCTACGGATGTGAGAGCTGGACCATAGGGAAGTCTGAGTGAAGGAAGATAGATACTTTTGAACTGTGGTGTTGGAGGAAAGTTCTGAGAGTGCCTTGGACTGCGAGAAGATCCAACCAGTCCATACTTCAGGAAATAAAGCCTGACTGCTCATTGGAGGGAAGGATATTAGAGGCCAAGATGAAGTACTTTGGCCACATCATGAGAAGAAAGGAAAGCTTAGAGAAGACAATTATGCTGGGGAAAATGGAGGGAAAAGGTAGAGGGGTCAACCAAGGGCAAGATGGATGGATGGGATCCTTGAAGTGACTGGATTGATCTTGAAGGAGCTGGAGGTGGTGACGGTCGACAGGGAACTCTGGTGTGGGCTGGTCCATGAGGTCACAAAGAGTCGGAAACGATGAACAACAACAACAAGGGATTGGGCATTTATACTAGGGACTAGGAGTTCCCAAATGCAAACTGAAACATTCTGGTTTTCAAATCCCTGAGAAAGGAGGGCAATGTGGGGGTTTGCCTAATCACCCTTGGAAGTTCCAAAGTCAGGGGGTCACCATCAAGAATGTCCTCCTCCTCGTCCTCACCAACCATGCTTGTCTCCCTAGCAAAATCTTAGAGCCCGCACCAGTTCATAGGTAGAGATGCAGTCCCAAAGATAGGACCCGAACCATTTGTAGTGCAAAAAGAAAGAAAGAAAGAAAGAACAATACAATATTAAAAATGAAGAACAATTTTAACCAACATAAATGTAATAGTATTTCAGTGGAAGAACCCAGGGGCTATCCAGTCCAACCCCTTTTGTCATGCAGTAAAAGCACAATCAAAGCACCCCCTGTGGGGTGGAAGTGAAGTAGGGTCTAGAAGCAAGGAAGGTGAGGGGAAAAGGGTCTGTGAGGTGAGGAGGTGTGGCGGAAAAGGTGCATACCATGGAAAGAGAGTACTGCCACCTCTTGCCCTTGGATCAGGGAGAAGAAGAAAGGGAAAGGGAGGAGGAATGAGGAGAGAAGCCCAACATGCAGTCAAAACAGTAGGAGGAGGAAAGAGAAGGAGGACAGTGCAGAGCCCCTCAGTATGCCTTTCCCCAAGGGCTCCGCGGAGCACACTTTAGGAACTGCTGCTTTAGAGAAAGAAGTCATTCTTTCAACAGCAAGTCAAAAGCACTGAAATATGTTTAGGAACAAAAATTGCCTATGCACAAAAGCAGCCATTAACTAATTTTGCAAAGCATCAGTCAAACTTCTTGTATATCCATGGTCTGCTATTGCTGCTATAGAAAAACAGCAAATGATTCAGTTATATGTTTACATTGGTATGGCTGCATTCCTATCCATTTGATTATTACAAGGGAAGAGAATCAAGATGCAAGAAAGGATTGTGTTCCTCTAGTCCAGGGGTCCTCAAACTAAGGCCCGGAGGCCGGATACAGCCCTCCAAGGTCATTTACCTGGCCCTTGCTCAGGGTCAACCTAAGTCTGAAGGACTTGAAAGCACACAACAACAACAACAACAACAACAATCCTATCTCATCAGCCAAAAGCAGGCCTACACTTCCCATTGAAATACTAATAAGTTTATATTTGTTTAAATTGTTCTTCATTTTAATTATTGCATTATTTTCAAGTGTTTTTTTTTTTTGCACTACAAATAAGATATGTGCAATGTGCATAGGAATTCATTCATGTTGCTTCAAATTATAGTCCGGCCCTCCAACAGTTTGAGGGACTGTGACCTGGCCCTCTGTTTAAAAAGTTGGAGGACCCCTGCTCTAGTCTATGCCTCCACCCAAAATAAAACGCCATATATTTATGAACTCTTTCTGAGTCAATCCGTGTATACAGATCTACCACAATGTACTGCAAGCAGGGAATCAAAGCACTGTTAAGAGCAAATATTTCAATACATATTGTATAACAAAGTGATATTTTCAACCGAACATAAATATAGTAGTGAATATCTGTAGTTTTAAAATACATTAAAATACTGTACCATATTTGAAAATAAGGCTATCAGTAAATGATTTCTGAGTGTGGGAGAGGAAAAGGGGATTAAAGGTCTAATACGTCAACACTAAAAATATTACAAGGCCCTGGGATCAATCTTGCTATACTGCCATTTTCTCAAGGTCATTTTTGATCAGAGTCAATTTTAATAACAGAATCTGCACCGTATTTCACATAATGACTTATTGTCATTTAACATTCTTCTTGCAAAAAAACTGATTCTGCAGAAGATGGGAAATTGTTTTCCATCCCCGCTGCAGTGCAGTTCCCCAATACAACCAGTTTCCATAAAAAGCCTCTATGAAAAAAGGGGTTATAAAATATTGACATGGCTGTTTATTTATGGCCTTCCCATTAAATTTAGTAATGAATGGTTCTCCATATTAGTTTTGACATGAATGTCACATCAGACAACACTTTCTAAAATACAGCTGTACATTGGGCCCATCTTTTTGAAATACCTAGTAGTTTAAAAAAGTAGTTTAAATAAGAAAGAAACTTCCTAAAACCTTCCCTTTCCAAAAGAACAAAATTAAATACAAATAAGAATGCTCATGTGCTTCTCATGTAGTTTACAGTCAAAATTTTCCCCACTAAGGGCCCATTCAGACAGGACACAAAACACACACCCTCCTGGATATTTGCGGGGGTCATCCAAACGACACTGCATGCAAAATCGAATGCATTTGGCACAAAGCAGAAAAACCCTGTTTTGTGCAGAGGTAATTTCATAGTGGGACAGATCCGAATCTTCTTGAAAGGCGTGGGTCGAACCCACTATGGCCACTGTCTGGACTCCCACTGAGAAGTCCTGTGAAGGCACCAACCTCCCCCCAGTTCCCCCCAAAGTGTTTAAAAAATAAAATAACTTACAGGGTCAGCATTTCCCTGCTGCCAGCCTTCTGGCGTGTAGCAATGATATACCAGGAGAAGTTGGGGAGAAGGAAAATCGCTTTTGCCCCCCCTTCTCCTGGCGTGTCATTTTAAATGCCAGGATAGCTTCGGCAGCACTTTAATGGTGGCCAGGTAAGTTATTTTGTTTTTTCAATGCTTTTAAAGAGTTTTTGGGAGGGGGGAGGCTGTCTC